AGTGTGTGTGTGTGTGTGTGTGTTAGTGTGTTTGTGTTTTTTTTAGGTTTTCTTTTTCAATGCGGAGGTGCTTTTACGCTCGACTCAATGACACAATTTGGATCATAATATGGGAAGCGGGTTTTGTCCCTGCCTCTCGGAGCCAGCCAAACCAGACTGAAAGTCATTCAACATCTCACCAGAAAGTCCGAGATACCCTTTAAAGAATTTAACTAACTTGAGAATGGAACTGGGGTCTTCTATGGGTGGTTTGTGAGCGTTTTGATGTGGTTTGCGCCTTGTTTCTTATCAAACATCTAGCATCATTATCAACTTTCCTTATAATGTGTTATTATCTAGTAAGGTCACTAATCATCAACACTGATAAGAACCAACTATGTTGCAAGTGGCTTAAATGTTTTACTAAAACGATACTAAATATTAACACGGAAATTCTTAACTAGCTCAACCCGCTTTCGATTAAAGGGAAGATCGGTGCATTAAGACCAACTGAAATTCATTGGTCTACTATATTAAACTTTCTACTGGAATAGAGCATTAAATCTTTAGAGGTACAAAATATTAGGTGGAGGTAAAAAGGTATATTGATTCTCGATTCCGCTTTCGTGATTGTACACTCCTGAATTTTAAAGGTGTTGAATATGTGCGCACGGTTAGTGAACGGAAACCTCACTTGTTTACAATGGAGTCTTAAAAGACGGACTTCCCCAAGATTAGTTCGAAACGAAACTAATGAAAAGCTGAAAATTAGACTACAGTGACTTCAGGCTCCTTACTATAATTGTGCACCCTTTAAATGATTCTGAACCACCTATCTATTTTTCAAATTCGAAAGTTAAGTGGTTGTGAAGTTTTACGCGGCAAAAGTGACGTACTTTCAAAAATGTAATATGTATAGATACCCGTATATTCAACAAGCAAAATCAAATCCTTCCGATGTGTCGTGAAAACTTATTATGTACTGACTGACCCCAGCTCATACAGTCCAGCATCTCAATCTTGGCAGATCCTACATTGTTCTTTCCATCACTTGCTTCGGTCTGTCTATCCCAACCTTTCCCATCACTGAATAACAGTTTTTCTCTTGTAGAAGTGCTTCCTCTTATTCAAACTAAAACCAGAACCAGATCTCCAATCACACGAATGAAAGAAGAGAAACAGACTCGGCTTCCGTTAGAGAAATACATCGGCTGAACGTAACTTGCACTCAAACCTAAAAGCATGCAGTGAAGCCGACGGCGTTGCCATTATCACTTACGGAAATACACGACGACATTAGTTGTAGACTTGGTGCAAAAAGGGCAGAAAAAATAGTGGGTTTTTTTCGGAATGTGTTAGCTTAGGATGACGAGCCGTCTCTCTCTGCTTTGTTGTACCTTTCTTACAAAAGGAGGAACAGGAGGAGGAAGAGGAGGAGGAGGAGGAGGAGGAGGAGGAGGAGGAGGAGGAGGAGGAGGAGGAGGAGGAGGAGGAGAAGAAGAAGAAGAAGAAGAAGAAGAAGAAGAAGAAGAGGAAGAGGAAGAGGAAGAGGAAGAGGAAGAGGAAGAAGAAGAAGAAGAAGAAGAAGAAGAAGAAGAAGAAGAAGAAGATAATCATTATTTTTATTATTATTATTATTATTATTATTATTATTATTATTATTATTATTATTATTAGGTCTATTGCCACTAACATTATCCCGAACAAAGCATAGTGATATTAACCAAAGTATTGGTGTAATTATTAACGTACCATTTAACCAAGACGCAGATAATATCTGTCTGGACAATTCTTTATTTTTAATTATTGTAAGGGAAGAAGGATGTGGGACCTGCCCTCTGCGTTTATTGCCGCTTATTACAACTTGGTTTGTTCAAAATGCTGTATGTCCTTTCCTGCCCAAACAACCCTCACCAGCCTTTTCATAAGCCAGATAACAAACCCAACTTGAATCATATAACGTATCCTTGACAATAGTTTTTTTTGGGGTTTTTTTTTTTGTTTTGATTTTAAACAGGAAACTGTTGGGCATGATCAAAGCGGCTCAGGACGGATATAAATCTAGAACCATAATCATTGTGCAGGCGTAGTCATAATATTATATAGGTTACAGTAAAAGAAGAAATTAGATAATATTATAGGTTGTGCGCACTTTTACGTTTTCCCTTTTTACGCGCCTACATTGTGTTCTACTTCTTTTTTTTATATTGTGGCTGTTATGAACTTGTTTAAAGTGTTTGTGCTCTCTTCAGCTCAGAAACTTTCAATCAGCCTTGACGTTCTATTGCGTGGCCAAGATTTACTGTTTCTTTCTGCCAAGGGTATTTGTCTTCATTACGTTCTGATTTCGTGTTTTATCGGAAACGTTTCAATTTAAAGTGCTCATTAAATTCCATAAACGAATTTGTTCTTGATCCACATTATCGTATTCTCCGACATCTTCTTTGATTATAACCTGGAAACAGCCATGGACAAGTTCGATTGGGATAATAAATGATAGCCAGCAGAGATATAAAAAGAAGCGAGAAAATTAATATCTTAATGAAAAGTACTTTGCATGAGGATAATATTAAATAAACAATTTAGAGCAAGGGGAGGGCGCGAACAGGCCCCAGAAATGTTGATCTTTATCAAAACAGTGAAAGCAAAAGTGCACTTGAATAATGGGATTGTTGAGTTTGTTTGAGAAAAAAGAAGCCAATATTAACCGTCACTTAAGTGTTAAGTGTCTACATCAGACAGACAAAAATCAGCAGAGCCACCCAATCACCATCTTAAAATGTTACAAAAGATGGCTTATAAGCGAGCTCCTATCTTAGCCCTATCGTGCCGGAGTCTGTACTGTAAAGATTCACCATTTCGCCATCACACGTAATAGACCCGAGTTCGATTCTGCTGGGATGTTGTATCCCTTTCAGTCAAGGTTAACCCTGATAAGTTGGGTCTAAGCCGCCTCCAAAAATATTAATAATGGATTGCATTTATATAGCGCATATCCACTTATGCAATGCTCTATGCGCTTAACATGATACATATTATGGATTTACAAATCAATTTTAAAGGTACATAGTGTTACATACTCATGCAAACACATATTCACTCACGCACGCACCACACACACATACATACACACATACACACATACACACATACGTACATATGCACATACGCACATACAAACTCACAACGATCTACAGCTTGGATGCATTCTGTCTAATCGAAATATGATGAAAATAGAAATGATTTTAGTTTCTTCTTAAAAATTGCTAGATTTTCTGCTTCTCTGATAGTTTTTGGAAGCCTATTCCAAACAAGTGGGGCAAAATATGAAAAAGAGCGATGGCCTTATGATTTGTAATTTATTTTAGGCTTAACAAGGGTTGTTTTGTCACTTGATGATCTGAGCGTTCTAGGACGCACATAGGGTGTTAAAAGCTGTTTTAGATAGTCCGGTGATAAATCATTTAAGCACTTGTAGCAAGTTAAACAGATTTTATATATGATACGCTCTTTCACTGGGAGCCAGTGATCTAAATTGTGTCAATAAGGGCGCAAAACATCTACATTTAAACAAAAGATAAATAATAAATAACAGCATGTTACTGATCTCATTTTATCTGTGAGAATCTAAGCAATGATTGATCTGTCCAGGGTCTAGGGTTTATGTGTGGAGTTCAAATTTCCTATTTTTCTTAGCGTTTGAACATTAATTTTTTTTTAGTTAGTGTTTCACGGCGCTCGCAACTGATTAAGGTCATTTGAGCGCGAGGGACACACTAAACATTAAACTTTTTCTACTGTAGGAAATTTTATACTTTGCCCAGGTGGCTGCAGAAGCCTAGTCTTATCGATTTTAAACCACCAATTGATCTTTAAAGTGCTCAACTTGCACATGAGACCTCCGAGATTTTTCGTCCTTGTCCGAGAAAGTTAGGTGTAGATCTCTCCTACCAGAAGACCAGGGGTGGGGCTGAAAGACAGCAGTAAGAAGCCAATGAATAACAGTAGAAAGGCTGCAGAAAGAATCAGGAGCCAAGAGGAGGTGTCAGAGGAGGTGAGGGGGTGGAGGCAGAAAGTGAGACGAAAGCAGACGACAGAACATTGCTAGTGATCAGGAAAGAAGGTGAAAGGAGACCATTTTATAGAAGAAAATGCTTCCGTCGCTATCCGGATTCGAACTCTGAACCTTTGAATGAGAGGCGAACACCTTAACCTCTAGGCCACGAGAGCCCCTGTTTGGACATTTTGTTTGCTTGTAGTTGATTTTCTTTTTTTAAAAACCCAATCCTTTGCCGTTTGTTAATCTTTTTGAAAACATAAACTATAACACACATTTGCCGTTTGTTAATCTTTTTTAAACAGAAACCCTTTCTCTCCTTTGTCGTTTGTCAATTTCTTAAAAATTTAAAAAAATATAAACCCTTCTCTCTTTTGCGCCCCACAGAAGAAGTCTCAATGTGAACGGTGTGCCCAACAAGACGGTACCAGAAGTGATCCAATTCTACAGTGACGACAACGCCATCATGCAAAGATGGGTAGGAAGAACCATCCAGCACTCACGGGTGAGAGGAACATCCCATAATCTATACATATTATATTTGTGGAAGTTCGTCTCTTTGGCCGTCTAAAACTTCCGAACCACTTAACTTTCGAATTAGACAAAATTGATGGCGGTTCAGAATCATTTAAAAGGGGCTCAGTTTTACTGAAGAGCCTGAAGTCACTGTAGTTTAATTTTCAGTTTTTCATTCGTTTCGTTTAGATCTAACTTGAGGAAAGTCGGCCTCCAAAACGCCTTTGTAAACAAGTGAGGTTTCCGTTCACTAGCCGGGCGTACTGTTCCACAATGACTCGATTTTTTAAATTCCTTTCTTCCAAAGAGGGCTCTGCTAGTCTGTTATAACTTTTTTGTTACCTCTTTGAGGATGCAGTAGAAACATACTTACGTCCAATCAAAAACAGACAAAAGTCACTGTTGCAGGATGATATTGGGGACTCCCATACAAAGACCAGAATCCCCCCAAAACAGATATTCCATAGAATACAGGTTGTTGCCTTCCTTTTTTAAGTTTGAGATATAGAAAAAACATTGAAAAAAATATGTTTGAACAATAAAGTTATGTCCCAAAACAGCAAGCCTTCAAGCAATGTTGAATGAGTAGATTGCGAATCCTCAATGACGTAAGGACGTAGCGTTCACATACTTATGTCCCATCAACAGCAGACCAAAGCACATTTTGAACCATCGCACACAAATTTGAAACACGAATTTGTCTGTTTTGTAGTAATCATGTTGTAGCTGCTTTTTCCAGGTTCAGATTAAAAAAACAACAACAAAACAAAACACCAAAACACAATGTACGTCTTCAAGTGTTGTCGAATCAGCGTGTTCAGTGATTTAAGGCATGAATATGTTGGTTTTTATTTGTTTGTTTGTTTGTTTGTTTGTTTGTTTGTTTTTGTTAGTGTTTTACGGCACTCACAACTGCATAAGGCCAGCTGATCGCGCGGGACACTCCGAACATTTTTAGTTGGTAGGACATTTTGAATTTTGCCCGGGTGGCGGCCAAAACCTAC